CCAATATCTTTGAAATGTGGACAACATATAAAACCAACTGATTGAATCATCAGAGAACAATCAAGGCAATCAGAACTAAGAAGCTAAGATCCCAGAATAAGGGATAGAACTTGGAGGTGAGCTTCAAATTTGGCTCCATTTTCCCCCTAAGACATTTGCCTATTTTGATGCAGACAAAATAAGTTAAAAGTTAAACTGTGGCAAGTTTAACTGGGAAAAGCAGTCAGGATTCAGTATCAATAACCCTGAGAGGGGGAAATTGGAGAAAAGTAAACCTGACATTTGTCTTGCAATTTCTCTTCAAGGTCAACTTCTTAGCTACTCATGATTGAATGGGCAAGACTCCAAAAAACAGGTGGAAAGCAGTTACTGAGAAGCTAAAGAATTAAGCAGAGATTTCAACAGTCACGAGATGTTGAAGACACAGAGATTCCATATTCCATGTTAACAAAAGGAGCAAGTGCTCCAGATTTTCCAGTGAGGTCTTTCAAGATCTCTGAAGACGCCTAAGGCAGCTACAGTAACGCATTGCAACCAAGGAGGGATAGAATTTGCTGCTTATTGATAATATGGAACGATCTCAGTTCCTGTCCATTCTCAAGTCAACTATTTCAATTTTCATTTTCTCTATGGGCCTCTAAAAGCCTTCTAATTATGTTCTCCATTTCTTTACAACTCAGCCATAATTTTATTGTTATTCTTATTGTTTTGTGGAATCAGAAAAGCTACTGAAAAACAAATTGATACTGGAACATGAATGTTGGGACAAAGACCCTCAAGCAAATTTAGGTAACTTTCTATTTTTTGTTTAACCAAGATGGGGCATAAAGTGACAAAACTACCATTTGCATTTTTGAAATAAGAATCTGGTAACTGTTCTCTGTGATGGAAAAAAATAAATACGTTTTCACCTATGGCTGAGTGTACTTAGAAGTGCACTCAGATTAACACATAACTCTGATAACACATAGCTTCCACACACAATGTTATGAAGGTTGTGGAGAATTCAGGAACTATAGAGTAGGGTGGCTGCCATTGCTGATTCTGAAAGGTCTGAGGTAAAGCAGTGATAAACTCAAATTCCTCTATTTGTGCAGTACACACAAACTGAAAATCAGGTCTTTTACTGATTATGCTTAAAGAATCTCTGTTATCTTTGAATCATGGTACCAAGATACTGCAAAACCAAAGTTGATGTTAGGAGGATGAGGCTGAGCTCATTTTCAGTTTTATGGGGAATAATTTCACTTTTTCAGGAGGGAGTACTTTTGGTAGTATGAGATATAAATGTGGATGCTGGGCAAGAAGGAGAGGGCTATAGTGAATCTTTGTAATAGCACCTTGATTTCTGTTTGGAGATATTATCTACCCCTCAATAGTGTGTAGTGTTGGTGGAAAGGTACTTCCTATACGAAGTGTAGGAAGATAAAAGAGACAGATGCTTCCTCCACTACTCTACTACTGCCATGGAGAGGCTGCGTGACCTATGTTTGACCAATTGGATACTCTATTCTGGGACTTCAGCCCTTGAGTGAGTGAAGAATGGATAAAGGGAATTACTGGAGGTCATGCACTGTAGAAGTAGGAGTGGCAGAGCAATATCAGCAGACCATTCTGAAAATGTAAAGATTATCTCTTTCTGATTTCTCACAGCCCATTTGTCATTGGCTCTTTCTGTTTCCAATCTTCGTGGCCCTTCAACTCCTTCAATCTGAGAGGATGAGGATCCGAAAGTCTTTTATTAAATTTCTTTTTTTTTATGCTTTCTTTTTGGTGAGGAAGATTCACCCTAAGCTAACATCTGTTGCCAATCTTCCCCTCTTTTTCTTTTCTCCCCAAAGCCCCATTACACAGTTGTATATCCAGTTGTAAATCCTTCCAGTTCTTCTATGTGGGATGCTGCCGCAGCATGGCTTGATGAGTGGTGTGTAGATTCACGCCCTGGATCCCAACCAGTGAACTCCCGGCTGCCAAAGGGGAGCACGTGAACTTAACCACCACGCCACTGGGCTGGCCCTATTAAATTTCTTTTTGCTCAGTCAGAAGTAGTTTTTACTGCTTATGTCCAAGAACTCCATGTTTCATGGAGTTATGGGGATAATCATGTGAAATAATACACTTAAAATTCTTAGCATAATAACTGACATACAAAAACTGCTGGATAGGTGTGTGTTATCAATTTTTATAATAAATAGAATAACAGATATGACAATCAGAATTTTCTCATGTTCAACAAAATGTATATTTCACATGGTAGAAATTTAAATCATTATCTTTAACCCCAGTTAAAATTCCAAGGTATACGTAGTACCTAGTTCAAGAAGTCTAAGTTGATTTAGTATCTTAGTGCCTTTTCCATTGCCCAAGAAACCTTTTAAAAATTGGCACTAGACCAGAATGATATGGGCCTAAAAGCTTGTAGGGACGTGAGAGAATACAACCTATCCTTAGGTAACTGACAGCTGTGTGTCCTGATTGAACCATTTTCACTTAGATTCTCTGCTAAAGACCACACTTGTCTCCATCTTTCTAGTCTAAACCTAAAAGGCACATATGGCAGATTAACTTTCTTGTAAACCACATGAATTGAGTCATTTGGAAACACTTTAAAGATAGTTTGAGTTCCTCTTTTGCTCACTAGTGCATCTTCCCTGTAGATATGTCTCAGCATGTCAGAAACAAAGTTGAGCAGTTCTATTTCTCAGCGTCCCTGGGAGAGAAGGACTTTCCAGCAGAATATCTAGTTTAGCATATTCTGGAGGCCAGTGGTTTAAAAATATCACGTCCATTTTGATTAAGTATAGTTTCATATGTTTTTGATAGTATTTCCAATGCATGTCTTATTTTTTATTAATGAGATTATAGTTTTCTGAAAAGTGGGAACCATCGTTTATATTATTAGATGAAAACCCCCATCTTCCAAAGAATTTATAGTTTTCCAACTAAAGCCCAAATTCCTAGTACCTTCTCTGGGCCCTGCCAAGTCTTTGTCTTTCTGTTAAAGGAGAGGAATTACACTATTGCAGAATGGAGTGTAGGTAGAGAAAAAAAAACCTGTGGGCTTAGCAAATAAATCATAGTCTCTCATCTGAACCATTTGGTGTACTAATGAGACATCTATATAAACCAACCCTTAAGAGTAGTAAGTACAAAATACAGTCATGCTAAATGTTACTAAGAACAAAGGAAAGTTAATCAGTTCTCCTGGGAGAGAGTTTGAAGCAAAAGCCTTTCCAGAGAGTTGAGGTTTCAGTTGCACCTTAAAAATTAGTAAGTGATTGCTTAGACAAGGGCATTTCTAAGTCTTATAGCAGCATTTTAAACAGGATATGGTCCTAAAAGTGAATAGATTGTTTGGAAATTGAACTTGTCAAGTGTGGTGAAAGTGGTCAGGGTTCAATGCTGGGGCAGGGCGTGATGTCGGGTAAAGATGATGAAATAAGTTGAGAGGACTCTTAAGCCATGGTAGAGAACTTAAGCTTGCTTTACAGGCGAGTTGTAAAACTGAAAGTAGCGCCATTCTCCTTGTTCTGGAATTGCACAATGAAGCAGCCCTGCTTCAGATATTGAGAACTTATTTGAGAAGATTAAAGCAGAGAATAACACAATTCAATTTGTGTCTTGGAAAGATGACTCTGGCCAGAAAATGGATAAGTGGGTTAGACAGTATTGTCTAACAAAAATAGGATGCAACCCACATATGTACTTCAAATTTTTTTAACGTGGAAAAAAAAGGTAAAATTAATTTTAATGTTTTATTTATTTATTGGAGGAAGATTAGCTCTGAGCTAACTACTGCTAATCCTCCTCTTTTTGCTGAGGAAGACTGGCCCTGAGCTAACATCCATGCCCATCTTCCTCTACTTTATATGTGGGATGCCTACCACAGCATTGCTTTTGCCAAGCGGTGCCATGTCCACACCCGGGTTCCAAACTGGCGAAACTCAGACCGCCAAGAAGCAGAACGTGCGAACTTAACTGCTGCGCCACCAGGCCAGCCCCTTAATGTTTTATTTAACCCAATATACCCCAAATGTTATGACTTTGATATGTAATCAATATAAACATTATTAATGTGATATTTTATATTCTTCTTTCCAAATTATGTCTTCAAAATCTGGTGTGTGTATTTTACACTGTCAATACAATTGAATTTGGACTAGCCATGCAATTTCAAGTGCTCAATAGCCACATGTGGTTAGTGGTTTTTGCACTGGATAATGAAGGAAACAAGATTAAAGACTTAGAGATGAATTGATACAAGTTTTTAATAGAATAGATGACTGATGAGGGTTAAAACTAGGCGGGTAGCAGTGAGAATAGTGAGAGGTGAACCAAGAGATATTTAAAAAATGGAATCAACAGAACATGGTAATGGATTGAATACTGTGGGTGAAGAAGAGGAAAAAAATAAAATATCTTAGGTTTTACTTTGGTTGACTGCTACAGAGGATTATGTTGGGAAGGAAAGATAATGAGTTTGGTTTTATATACTAACTTGAAGACAATTTAGATATTTGCAAATAATATACGAATCACAGGAGCGAAGATTTTGGAGCTATGGACGTGAAAGTTGAAGTTAATCCACATGAACAAACGAAGTCATTCAGTGAACTAGAGGCGAACTAGGACGGATCCCTCAGGAACACCAGTATATCTAGTATTTAATCATATTCCAATAGAGGGAAGAGCAAACAAAAGAGACAAAGAAATAATTCTCTGAGGTATAGACTGAGAAACAGAAGGGAAAGTATTTAAAGGAAGAAGAAATTTTATAGAAGGAAATGGAGGATCAGCAAGGTTCAATAAAACAGAGTTAGAACTAAAAAGGGGAAATAAAGTTTGATAATTAGATCATTAGTTGCATTTTCAAAAACCACTTCTATACTTATGATTTCCATGTCCATATTTCCCCTGAAAGTGCAAGAACTGACATTACTGAGTCTCTAGGATACATAAAGAGGTAAGTTAGACCCTCCAAATATCTTATCACATTTAACCTTCCCCCAAAGTCAGAGAGGGCATTGCCAGTCACTTTAATGGTGCTACTTGGTGAGTTCAAGTGGCCTGCAAAGGTCATACTCCCATTCAATGGCAAAGCTGGGATGGATCCAAGTTCTGTCCTCAAAATCTGGTGTTTTTCCTGCTGCGTCATGTTGCGTTCCCCAAATTCCTGCTGAATTTCAGTCTCACAATTGCCTTCTCTGCTACGAAAATCTTTTATATCTTATTCTCTGAAGAAAGTCGGAGCAAGAGAAGCTGGGGGAAATAAGATTGCTAGGGAATGGGACCCTTAATATTGAGCAGAGCACCAAAGGTTAGGGAAAATACATCTCTCTAGCATCAAGCCCCGGGTTTCTTTTTCTCTGCTCTTACATTTGGAATGCAGCAGGCAAGGCTGCACTTTCTAGCTTTCTGGAGGTCGCCATGGTCTGCTAGTGCGATCCTCTTGAATAATGTATGTTTGGCCCCGAAAATGACCTTATCTGTTGGTTAGCATCTTTTATACGGGAAAGTCTGTAGCATTCAAGTCCAACTGAAGAGTTTTTTGATAAACACTTGCTTTTCATTTTTATTTACGAATGGCATTTTCAATTCATGCATCATAATTTTAATTTTAATAATAAGAATTGTGGAAATATTATCAACACGAGTCTATGTATCCGACGTAGTGTTTCAATATTTTGAATTGCATCGAGTAATTTAGTCTTCAATTTTTAAAAATGTGTGTGTAAATATTTAATGTAATGTTAGACTTTGTTGTCCCTGCCCAAGAAAGATCAGGGTTCCCTGCCAGCTAAGGCCACATCTGACCTAGGCTTCTGATGTCAGGAAGATAGAAGTTTCAATCGCATTATTAACTTAATTTGGAGATGGCTCTTAAAGAGGATTTTGAGAAAGACAACATGAGCTATGTTAACAATCCTAAGTAAATGTCTATGGGAAATTGCATAATTATAGATTATATGGTTTTATGTTGCTGAAGAAAAGAAAGAGATTATGACATTCCACTGAAGATACGGACGGATGCTATAAATTACATTCCCAGACACTGAAATTAAATACCTCTTTTGTGTATATCCTTCCATGCCCCTCCCGCCTTACCACTGCCCCTCATCTCTACCATTCGATATGATCTTTGCCTATTCTTCTGAATAGGAAATATTGAGAGAATTTTATAATTATGTTATGGCATTAATCATATTCAGTCTTTCATTGAAGGGATTGGTGTTCTCTTACTTTTGTGCTGCAATGGATTAAAATCCGGGAAAACTAAACCCATTTTCTGTTTTTTATGAGATGTACTGTGGCACCTAGCTTCTGACTCACACAATCCTTGGGTGCTTGATAAATGCTTTTGTTTGTTTTTTGAATAAAGGTATAATTTAATGTTGTCCTTTGGGGGAAGCATAGCAAGATCAAGGAGTATTGAGAAGTAGCTCCCTGCTTGCGTACATTCCTTTATTCCAATTTCTTGCCTTGTCCCAGTTCCCATCATTTTCCCTCTTATACTTGGTTCTCTCTTATAATCTGACCACACTGTGTCTGAATCTCTCTGTGCTTTGTCTCTTTGCCTTTGCCCGTGTTGTTCCTGCTTCCTGGAATATCTTGATGTGTGTGCGTGGGGTGTGTATGTATGTGTCCACATGCATGAATGCAGAGGTGGGGGGAGATGGTAATATGAGGCAAAAAAGTTATTTTTTATAAGTAATAATAGCTAACAGTTACATAGTCCTACCTCTATTCTTGATGCTATTCTAAATGTTTTAAAATATGAATTTATTTCATCCCCAAACAAACTTATGGCTTAGCTACTGCTTTAATTTCCACTTTTTAGGTAAAAACCCAGGAGAGTGGAGAGGTCAATTAATTTGCCCAAAGTCATACAACCTGAAGGGGCAATATGCAAGGGAGCACCTGCAACAAAGTTGAACCCTGACAGAAGGCTTGTGGCCACTTACACTACTCGGCCCCGTGATACTAAGTCGTCCTGGCTAGGATGAACCCTCTTGATCCCATCTTAAAAAAACCCATCATTTTATCCATATTCTATTTCTTTTCCAGACTTAATCATATTCCAAAATAAAATCCTCTAAGTTTTTAATACAGTTTTTACCAGGCCCGATAAAATATCTTAGCTTTCATTTCTGATTGAATAGTACAATGAACAAAAAAGACATATATGTGTAAGTGAAAAATTAACTGCTAAATAAACCTGCTAACATATTTTCAGGCAATTTATTTATTGGTGTATTATTTTTTTAGAAAATTTTTCCTAAAACGCCCAATAAAGAAATTTTATATGTGTAGCCTTAACATTTATCAACAACTTTGATATTTCAAAATGATTTATCTCTTTTTTAAAAAAGATTTATAACAATGCACATGAGAATTTTTGTATGTATTAAGGACATAAACTTGGGGCCAGCCCTGTGGTGCAGTGGTTAAATTTGCATGTTCTGCTTTGGTGGCCCGGGTTTCACCGGTTTGGATCCTGGGTGCCAACTTATGCACCACTTGTCAAGCCATGCTGTGGCAGGCATCCCACATATAAAGTAGAGAAAGTTGTGCATGGATGTTAGCTCAGGGCCAGTCTTCCTCAGCAAAAAAAAAAAAAAAAAAAAAAAGGAGAATTGGTGGCTAATGTTAGCTCAGAGCTAATCTTCCTCAAAAGAAAAAAAAGAGCACAAACTATTTGGTTAATATTTCCATAAGGGAGTTCCTTAAACCATTGGAAAATCCTCATAAGAATTGGTCATTGAATGGCCAATAAAATATGAAAAGTTAACAGGTGTCTAGTTTAATTTACCTTATAGGCAAGCAAGCTGTTTTAGTAGAATTATAAATTTTATTTAGCTCATAGAGATAATCAGGAAAAATACTTTGAAATATTTTATTCTACCCATGAAAACCGATTTTGTCATTTTAATGATGCCAATGACAGCATTTTTATTATGTTTTCAACAACCTCATTGAGTGTTTTTCGTTTAAAACTAATTTCTATTTGAACCTTTCTTTTTATTTTCTTTTCTCTTAGAATTCTCAAAAATATCTTGAGCAAACCCAGTCTATATCTTTCTGGGCTTTGCAACTTTCTTAATGTTTAAATACATCTTTTATATCTGTAAAATGCACACAACATCCTATCCCTCTTTTTCTGTTAATAATGATAATGATGATACAATATAAATAGATTAATTCTTGTTTGGTGGTTGAGGCATGTCTTAATCACTCCTCCACACCACCTGGTTTGCTAATTCTGCTTCTTCATCATATTTAGATTTTTGTTTTAGTAACTTTCCTAGAAGCCACAATCTGAGATAAGTTTTTTCAATTGAGAATAAGATGGGGATATAAAACTTCAGAAACATTAGTTCTAGCTCAATTATTGTGATTATTTATTTTCATAAGATTAATTTTCCTTAATTCTCCTGTTAAGCTTTCCTGTAATTAATTTTTCACTGACCCTCAAGGGATCTCGTGTCTTTCTTACTAAAAAACCTTTTAAATACCAATTTCCTCCAATATTCTAATTAAAATGTTCACACTCCTTAATAGAGACTCCATTTCCTGGATCTCAATTTTCTGTCTAGCCCCTGCTCCCATCATTTCCCTCTTGCACTTGATTCTTGGGCAGAACTGAACTACGTTTTCTCTGAAAATGACTGATCTCTTTGACTTTGCACATATTGTTCCTACTTCCCAGAATACCTCGGTTCATCTTCTTGTCCTGTTAATCTCCTATTTATTCTTTAAAGTTCGTGTCAAATGACACCTCTTCAAGAAACCCACTACTAACTTTCTTAGACGTAGTTGGTCACTCTGCTCTGTTAACAGCTATATCTTACGTAAACTTCTTAATTAATTTTAGAAATTAACACCTACTAAACAGTGAGCTCATTGCAGTAAGGATCGTATTTTATTCATTTGAAGTCTTTGGGGGTTAATAGAGTATCTGGTACACCTTCATCACTGTAGTGATAATATTTCCAATTTAATAGTATTTCCTATGGGTCAGGAAATACACTATACCTTTTAAATGATAGATTTCATTTAACAGAGGATCCCTATGAAGTGGAAATTACTGTCACTCCAAATTTACTGACAAAAAAAATGAGTCATAAATATGCACTGACTTGCCTAAGGTCACTTTATGGTAAACAGTGGAGGCATGATTTAAACCCAGATCATCTGGCTCTTGAGAGAACCTTTTCTTTACTCACCATGTCATGAGACACACCAAAAAAACCTGTGGGATATTAGCTTGCTAGAAACCAACCCAAAATCTAGTACGTCAAATATTACTGAACTTATTGAAGAGATATCAAGAACAAAGACTATAAGATTGTCAGTGAAAAAGAAAACAGTTGGGTTTTTTGTTGTTTACATACAAATCTCTTGACATGGACAATTATTTGGTTTCCCTAGAAATTATTTAAACTCAATGCTGGGATAGGGAATGAATATTGCTGAGCTTGTTCTTAAGGCAAAAGAAAGGCCTTTGGAGTTTGACAGAACTATTTGCACTTAGCTCTGCAACTTAGGGCTTATTTTGACCTCGAATGCATTGTAGTGACAACGCCTGTTTCAAATGCTCACACATTCAGTCTCCACCAAGCATCTAGGAGCCCAGCACCCACCATTCTAAGTGCCCAGACAGGCACTTTCACCCCTGACAGTAATCAGAGAATTTACTCCTCTTCTTAGGTCAAGGAAATTTTGGAGGTCGAGATGCATTATTTCCCTAAAATCCTTTTTTGTTTATCAATCTTAATATCTTTCCATTCTTACTTTCTTGTAATACTTATGGGAGTTGCAAATGGAAGCAATCAATTCTTATGGTTTCCTGTAGCCTGAAATGTAGTTTCTATTACCACCCTCTTTTTTATTGATAGCAATAGGAGGAACAATTTTATAAAATGTTTGTACGGAATAATGAATAAGTGGCCAGGAGTCATTGTGAGTAAGAGCCGCCCATTCTGCAGATTCTATACGTTTGTCCCAAACCAAGAAACTGTTGGAGCAGTCAAAGTGTGGGATTATTGGCCTCCATTTGTCGTCATAATCATGTCCATCAAATGGCTGGAATTTATGGCAGAGGTGAGACAGTGAGGATCAAAAGCAATCAGAAACTGGGACTCGTGATATTCCTGC